AAGAATTACTTATGCCCGGTTCCTATATTCAACGAACGGCCGTGAGTTACATATCTTCGTAACTTCCGTAACGACTTGTAACGGGCATTACTCAGTTGCCCACCTTTGACATTAAACTAATCAACCGATCCATGATGATGTAAAGTATCCTAATCATCAATAATTGAAATCAAACTGAACATGAAAAAATTGTTTCATTAAACAATAATTCAGCAATATAAAGGAATGTTAAGTCATAGCCACAGTTAGAGGTTAGTTATATTAAATTTGAAAATACGTAATCATTATTCGGACATATAATATAATGTACTTCGGTCGTAATTAATATTATTCGATCACTTAATTTACTGTTAGTGTGCATGAATGTGCGTATAGAACGGCAATAGCAATTTTTATGCTATTAAGATTGTATACGACACGTACATTAATGACATATCACTATTAATGTCAATTCATAACATTGTAGATGGCTTAATAACTCTACCTGTTTATCTGTCACCTATTGACATCTCGAATATTTGAACATTACTTAAAATTCAGTTCCCGTTCCGTGTCTTAATAATGAGATTCGTTTCATGAATCTGCAGCCCAGATCCGGAACTATACATATTTCTATTCAATGAACATAATAAAACACGTCGAATGCCGCATGAATGAGGAGAGTCCTGCTTTTATACTTACATTCCCTACGTGAATTTTTGTTCGAATCAAAACTGGGCTGGAAACTTTTTATATCTATAAATATGTTTTATTTAAAGAATGAAATATGCGCAAGATAAATGGTAAGTGGATTACTTTTACTATTTCTTGTTAAGAAAATTTTCAAATATTAAATAAATTTTTCTTCAAACATCATAAGCAGTGATAGCAGAAAAAGCTGTCTTTGTTATGTAATGCATTTAATATTCTATTATATTTAAGTTTATCATACAAATGTGTACTCGTAGGTATGTATGTACATAAAATACCAGAATCATCAGTTTTGTTTTAGAAATTTTCTTCCGTGTCGCTTAATATATAATTGGACTCTTAGAGTGGAACAATTTGCCTTTATCAGTTTTCCCGTCCGAGTACAAAGTGAGTGTCTTCAAAGTAAAAGAATTTTATAGAGCTAATGTGTTCACCATCGACGGCTTACATTTCAGGTACATTACTTTCATTAACTTAAATAACATATATATACAGTTAGCCTTTTTGTAAAGTATTTTAATATGCAGATGCACACCTGTGCTTTTAAGAAAAGTTAACAGAAGCTTGGTCAATATCTATTCCTCTTTTCTATTAACATAATTAGCGTAATGATCGTCGTTAGTCTCTACAAAAGTAGGGCAGCAACGGTAGAGGACCTCTCAATTCATCTATATCTCATATATTAAAAGTCATAATGCTCATACTAACATGGTATACATTCAGGAAATAACTAGCTTTTTAGATTATTTTGCTCATCATTAAATCACTAAAAAAGAAGAATGGAATACAAGCGTCTTGCCTATCTCAAGCATGGCTTTAACGCTTTCCCCAAAAATTTTTGTGCTAGAATAATAAATAGCATTTGTAGTACCCTCAATTACATTACACGCACTGTCCCTCTGTAGCCTAGGACTTAGTAAATAATGTGTTTTTCATTAATAATTAAAGATATGATGTATGTAGACTAATAATGTTGACGTGTTAAGATGAAATCATCGTAACAAAACAAGGTTTAAAAGTTTTCATCATAGGAAAAAAATATGTGGCTTAACTTCCTGGTGAAAATGGACTAGATAAGCGGACTTCAGATTTTAAATACTTTAGATATCTGAATAATGTTTTTAAATTTATGAATCATCATCATCCTCCTTCCTGCCCTAGGTTCACCTAGGTTCGAATCGTGTCGTAAGTGATTTTGGCTTGGTGTTTACGCCCGGCTTGACTAACGTCTACACGGCCAATGGCCTTTGGGCCATACAAATACTTGTTACGGGTGGTAATCGAACCCACGAAGATGGCGCCGAAGCCAATAAGCTAAGGAACTAAGCTACCAAGTCATATTAAGATCCTATTCATTATCATCTTAATATTGCCCGACCGATTTACGTAAAGTTTTCTACAACAACTTTGGTCGAACAAAAACTTTGGTTATATTTATTGTCACCGAATTATCAAACAAGTACCGTTATATTCGTGTACCTATTTAAATTTATGGTTTGCAATAACATGAATCTGAAATTCAAACGGAGTGAAACCGCATAGCAAAGCAAATTGGAAATGGTAATAGGCGCTGACGATAACACGGTCCATGAATTTTGTTGCTACAATAATTGGATTATGAACTTATGTTATAGTGCCGAGTCTAGAATCAAACGCGAATAATGTGAGCTATTAATGAGTTAAATTTTTTTTTAATTTACAATAAATTAAAAAAAAAATTAACTCATTAATGACTTCAACTTGATGAGTGAACCGTAAGTCGACTATTAAATCCCTTTTTTGTTTATAAAAATAACACTTCATGCGATGTTTATGATGTGAAAAAACAAAACGAAAACATATTTGTTTTAGAAAGGAATATAATATTTATTTCTAGATAACTGACATGCGATACAACAATTAAACAATTAGCGCCAAATAAAGTTCCAATTAGGGTGAGCTCGCGTTAGTTCGAGTACCTTTACGTTTTCTTGTCGACCCCATCAAAAGTAATAAGTTTAGTGTATTTTGTAATAAAACTTTCCAATTATCAAATTGCTCAAATCAAAGCGACCATTTCCACCCTGACAAATTTTCCATACAAAATTAACATGCAATCTATTTTTGAAATTAATGTTGTTTTTGGCTGAGGTTTTACTGAGACACAGAATAATGTACACGGCGACAAGTTGATCACATGTTCCACGGTATATCGGTATAAGCTATATTATTGTGAAGTTTCATTAAAATCTAATCAGCAGTATTTGCGTGAAAGAGTAACAAACATCCATCCATACATACAAACTTTCGCCTTTATAATATTAGTAAGGAAGTAAGGATTCGTTGTAGTCGATAGTGAACCCTTGAAGTTTTGAATTCAAATGTCAATACAATCTGATGTTTTACTTCACGCTGTTTCACATAATTTCTATGTCAATGCATTGAAAAATGTAAAATGTTTAAGCAATAATACGTAATAGCGTTCAGTAATTATGTAAAATCGCTAAACGTCGTTCAGTTGTTTCACATAAGAGAGCTATTATGGAAAACAACTAGTGGTTTGTAAATCAGTGGCTTCGACAATCCATCTTCGATATAAATATATTCATGTATATCGAAGATGGATATGTCATTAGCGATATCCGATGAAATTGATGAAATTTTAAAAATGTTTTGTTGATGCATGAAAGACAAAACTTGATTAAAGATTTTTACGGCGGTAGGGCCACGCAGCAGCCTCGGCTGTTGCACGAATGGGCAGGCCCGTCCGGGTAAGTACCACGACCTCACAGAAGACCAGCGTAAGGTATGTAAGGAAGTATGACAAATACTTTCGCGTTTCGCCTGGTGAGTGAGGTAGCCGGAGCCCAATTTTCAAAACGTTGTCAACGCACCTGTAACCCTCGGGTGTAGCAGATGTTCATGAGCTGTATTTACTTAACATAAGGTGACCCGTCTACTCGTTTGGCAACTTTCCATTACTTGATGCGCTACATATACCTTCAAGCGAGATGAGGATCAACTCCTCTGAAAATTTCTTCAACCTTGTGCCAAAGTGTTTTCTCATCTCACGATATTTCCGATAAGTACATGCCGAGTAAGTTCCAAAATAAATTTAAACTATTTACATTAGTGATTGTGAAATCTTGAGAAAACTATAAATCTAAAATTAAAATGCTTAATTATTGATAATTTGTTTTCTAGGGGTATGTTAATAATTTCGTAAGTATATCAATATTTAATAAGTTTTTAAATTATCTTCATTTTTATTGTGCTTATGCGCCAAAAATTGCTAAAAACGCAATTAAAACAAAGTAGATGAATACAATGAGATTTTCTTCAGTGTGAAGGTAAGCAGTTCAGTTCATAAGATACAAAATCGGAAACGTATCCTGGAGGACGCAGTTTCAAATCCTCGCATGTGGGAAAAACATTTCATCCATTTTTTTACGAATTATTAAATTTAAAAACATTTCATTTTCACATTGGGTTTTACCATGTCGCCAAAATCATCATCGTTAACTGAAAAAAGAGTAAGGGTACTGGTATTAGTGAACGAGGTAATTATGAAATTATTTATCTTGAATTCTGTAGCAGTTTTTGTTTAAATAAACTTAAAATAGTAAATACAATTTCAAGCTGCACGAGAGTTTTGTAAGTTTTAATGTTTTTTATTTTGCTGTGCATTTTGCGTTACATATAAAGCTCTTTCCGAACCGTTACGACTTGAGAACCTTCAAGAATAGAACATATTCTTTCCTGAAAGGCCAGCAACGTATATGAGTGCCCGTTAGTATTGTAGAAGTTCATGGGCTGTGGTAATCACTTTCGATCAGGTGAGCCTTCTGCTTGTTTGCCCCCTTTTTCCAATAAAAAAAATTACACGTGCGTTTTTATTTTTTTTTCTTTATCAATAGGTTACTTCCTCATAACATAATCATCGTGATCTTGAAGACAATCACAATAAGAAGTAGGAGAACGAAAAATTTTATAATAAAAATGAATGTACAACTCACACAATTTTATTGTATCATTACAATTTCAGCCTTGCTTTTATGAATAGTTTTTATACAATATGTACAGCACAATCGGCATCTCAGTCACGCGTACAAATTTACCAAAAATTGTTCAACCATCGACCGACGACAAATAAAATTATGGCATATTTAAGAAAATAATGACTCTCGTATTATGCTGAATACATCGTGGATAATAAGAAGTATACAAAATTGGAATTAAAGTCGAAAACAAAAAAAATATTTTCACAACAACGATCATAACATCCTCAAGTGATTGTCGGACGAACCGCAATCACTTTTCTCGTACTGTCATGTACGTGATAAACCAAGACTGTTAGCTAACTGCGAGCACCGAGCGACGACTTCGTCTTGTAGCAGACTGAACGACATCGCTATCAGGATCAGTCCGAAAACTAGATAGGCACAGCACGCGATCATTTGGATGTATTCGTTCCTCGAGTTTTCCGTATTCGACTTCGACGTGAGGAAGCTGGTAGGCACGAAATCTCCGAAGCCTATGGTGGCCAGCGCAATGAAGCAGAAGTACGCCGCGTCAAGGAAGCTCCAATTTTCCCAGATGGAAAATATTGCGGCACCGATGCATATGTAAGCTAGAAGCAGGAACAACACTATCCCGGCTGGGATTTGACAGTGTTCCACGCTGTTGCTCTGATGTTGAACGCTGGTTGATGCGCTGCAACTGGGCACCGCGCAACTTTTTATCTTCTGGTTCTCTTCGCTCCATATCAAAGGCACTCGCGACGGCGTGTCGTGTGGACAAATTCTGTGAAAAAAAAAACATAACTCAATCTAATCCTCAAACTATACTATTAGAATTATCTATACTATAAAATTATCGTTAGTACAATGACTCCTACATTTCGTCAGCATCTTCAGAGTCTTCGGCTTCTTCTTGACAGCTCTTCATAATGATTTCACCGCACTCTTCAGCAATTAGCTGCTCGATTGCGACGCCCCGAGGTCTTTGAATAGAGTTCCTCCCACGTCCTCGGCCTGTGGCATGGATTGTTGCCATACATTTCATACTATTTACAGTTCTCTTTCGGTCTAAAGTCTGCGTTTGCAGGGCTCCAGATGAATGCGGTTCTAAAAATGAAACAATATTTTTATAATCAAAATCTATATACACGTCTTCATAAAACTTTTTGAGTTTATCATGTTTTATAATGAGTACCATCACTTAAACCACTCCGTCTTTGGCGCCCCAATGTCGCTGCTCTGGGACTGGGTGGTGCTTTCTCGAATACTTGGGAATATTGTCCTTTTTCCCCAGCTCTCGCTTTAACAGTCCCTGCGTATCTTTGAGGGCGGGGTGGAAATGACGTGTATTGGTTGCTTTGTATCGGTTGCGGAAGAAGACGTTGTTGTTCATGGAGTTGGAAGTGATTTTCCATCTGAAGGGGAGAATAAAATACAATGAAGATCTCAATACAAACTACAGGTAATACTTATGAGAAATCCTTAAGAGAAAAGTTTTACAATGCAGTATTTTCATGATAGAATATTTTACTCATTAAATAAGTTAAAATAACTTGTTAGGAATAAAGTTTCTACAAAAATCAATGATTAATTCACGAGGAGTGCGTCACTAGAGTAGGTAAGTCTGACACTTACTTCACCGTCCTTCCTCCAAGTGTTGGGAATCTTATTCTTGGTGGCTTTCAACCAAGCTATTCTCGCCAGCCTTGCCAGGGACGCGCCAAGGCCTGCCAAGCATGCCAGCGTCAGCGGCACCCCCGCAGCGGCGTAGGCTACCGTCGCCGCCCGACCAGCCGGCGTGCGAGGTGACACGTTACCATAACCTATAATATTAATATTAATTTAACTTCAAAAATATCAATCTCACCCTAATTACTAGAAATAAACGGGACCCTATTACTAAGACTCCGCTGTCTATCTGTCTGTCTGTTTATTTGTCCGTCTGACACCAGGCTGTACCTCATGAACCGTGGTGGTAAGACAGTTGAAATTTTCACAGATAATGTATTTCTGTTGCAGAAATACATTATCTGTGAAATCTCTCAATCAATCGAATATCTCAGTCTGTACAGGGACCATGAACGTTGTAAATGGTTCGAAACTTAAACTTAAAAATAAACGCGATAAATCCGCAAACATAGTTTCATTTAGTTAGCCAATGCAAATTTTTGAACATTAGCGTGATCAACCATCATATAACAATATTAAAAATAAATGAATGTATGTATAACTCCCTCAAGATTTCGACAGTAGAGCATGCGAAACAATTAGAATTACATAAATATACGGCTGAAAAACAATAGTCGGGTGAAAACTAATACTCGCAACAATGAACGTATACAGGCGGATCGAAAACATTTTCCATAATATTTCTTACATGAATGTTAAAATAGTCACTTTCTAAATAATATATGATAAAATTAGAAATAAACAAGTAAATATGAAATAAACTAGCTTAGAAGAGCCAGTTTATTTCATATGTACTAAGAAGTATATATACTAGTAAGTACTCTGAAGTATTATTTTGCAAATTAAACATATATGCTACTTTAGCATAGAAAAATATTCTCGTTCCGAATTCAAATTAATTCACCGGTTGAGCGCGAAGTGTGCAAACAGTTATATATTTGTAGGTACTAATTATCAGCGTATTCAAACACTTATATTTGTTATAATTATAAATACATCCTCACCTATTGTAGTAATTAATGTTATGCAGTAAATCAAAGCGCCGGAAAACGTCCATTTGTTCTCCAAAGCGAGTTCCGGCGGCTGCGCGTCGGGCGACTGCCTCGCCGCCGCGACTATAGACGTCTCGAACTTGCGAAGCTGCTCATGCACCAATCTAGTCCAGTTGCGTTCGTACAGTACGTTTAGACGCTCTGTAACAAATCGAAATTGTTTCCTTTATTTCACCATCATCATCATCATCAGCCGCAAGACGACATATATCCGCTGTTGAACATAGGCCCTCTTAGATCATTTATTTATTTATTTATTTAAACTTCATTGCTACACCCTAAGGGCTAGAATGGGCGGACTTAATGCCTAATGGCATTCTCTACCAGTCAACCCTTGTTATGGTGAAAAGTAGAAGGTACGTGTTAAATGAAGACTATAAAAATTAAAGTTAATAAATGTTCCATAAAATGTAACATATATGTAAGTATAAATAGGTACATAAATATATATACAAATAATAAAAACACAAATGGAATAAGTGATATATAGTCAATGATTTAATAAGTATTCTCGAATTAGTTTTTAGATCACTTTGACTTAATCCCCACGCTTGGCAGGCATCTTGGGGATCGCAGTAATAGATGTTAAGTACACGGAAGCCGCTGCTGCCCAACTTCTGGATTTTTCTCGTGGTCGCCTCCTACGACACCCTCGGGATGAAATGGGTGGGTGCTATTCTTTCCCGGACACTTCACGGGGGGTATATCCCATATCTAAAGGATATATCCTAATCTATTTCCTCTATCTAAAGACACTAAATCCGTTCGTAGATTTTGCTATCAGTCACTAAAGTTAATGGAATAACCGCGAAACATTTCGATGTATTAAGCAATAATGTTCAGTGGACTCAAACAGGCTGAAATGATGATGATGATGAATTAGTAATAATTTTGTCTGCCGTCTATTATGAACTCGCGGTATTAAATTTCTTTTTGACGGATGTTTCCATGAATGACAATGAAGATGAATTATATGGCATTACGGATGGTGGCCCGTAATAAAAAAAAAGTTAGTGACTAGCTAATTGTAATTGTGATTGTGACGGTTATATAAATGGTAACGGGATAAAACTTTTCTGTCATCATATATACAAAGCACTACAAATCATGACTGGGTGTATTCACGAAAATATTTACAAATTCAAAAAATTTTAGTTGATTATGCTCTACCTACTACTAATATTTTATTAATAAATAAGAACAATCTTTAAAATATACGTCAGGAATTTTAAATACATTAGCATGATGTGTAGTTATACCTAATGATATATCACTTGTGACCACAATAATATAATTATCGTTTCATGTAATTAATCCTCGACACGTTTAACAGTTTCCCGCTGTCTATCTGTCCCTATGTATGCTTAGATCTTTAAGATTATGCAACGGATCTTGATGCGGTTTTTTTACTAGATAGGTTTATATGTATAATACATTGCACCTATGCGAAGCCGGGGCGGGTCGCTAGTGTAACAATAAAGGAATCGTATTTCTAAGCACGGTGATGCTTACACATATACTTATATAGTCATATAGATTCATTTGACTGGATCTTGCTGGCATGACCCGACCGCTATTGTGCGAAATACCCTTTTAATTGGCAGACCAATGCCTGGCTGTTGATTGTTACAATGCAACTATTCCTGAGCCAGCTCGAGCGTCACAAGTCAATAGCAGCCCGCATAAGGGTTCCAACCCACCGCACCAGTCCATGCCGTAAACGAACTACTCACAGAACGGTCAAATAAACATGTTATTCATATTTACTTATACACAATATAAAATATTGTGTGTGGGTATTTTGTTACAATTTGAGTCATGGTATGAAACGATGTAGTGAGCAGTTACCCTTAAGTTATATTTTGCATTTCTTTTCTATTCTTTCTACACCCGTTAAAGTCGCTCAATTAGTATGCTCATTTCCTTTTGTTATACAAAAAGGAGAGAAAGAACCGAACAGATTCCTTTTATAGCTTCGTAATGATTGAAATACTTATTCCTTCTTTTAGTAAACATTTTTTTTTATTTATTAGGTTCCTTTTTCTTTCAAAGTTTTAGATTTTTCTTTCAATATTAATAATAATATGGAATACGTTTTTTTACTTAAAATCAGACTTCAAATAACTAAATTATTATATTACTAACCGCTAAGACTTTTAATACTCCTCCGATTGACAATCGTAATCCATAGCACAATCCTAGCATTGTAAAATTAAATAAATTAAATTATTACAAATCTAAATTATTGCAAACAGATAAAAGCTTTCGACGTAGTAGTATTGTTTAGTTCATTTTTCAGTAGGAGTTGAAATAATGAAGTCAGTCACGCGGCTGACTTCGTCATTCGACTCCTACCTACCCTAGAATAAAAAGAGTAACGTAATCCTGTAAACTGTATTAAATTTGCTGGATGTTTGGTATTTGTCAAAAAATATTTATAAAATGCCTTGACAATTGCAGAAAAACCCTTAAGCGAAAGTAAAGTACTAACAAGGTGAAAAATATAAAATGAGAGAACGGATTTTTGGTATTTTCTTCATGATTGACTACAAAAAATAAAATCCGTAATATTCGGGAGTAAGGTAGTATTCACCGATCACAACTCGCACTCTTTTCTTTACTTTGATATCCTCTCTTTATGCTGCATTTCAATCGAAGCTAATTTAAACCTATTGTAAGAATTAATTTGAAAAATTACGTAATTTAATAAAACTTTTACATAATATCTATCACGAGTCCTGTCATTGTTTGGGGTAAGCTTAACTTCATTGAGTTGCGAAGACTTAAATAAAAAATATAGAGGCAAATTTGGTTTAAATACATTAAAGTTTCAATATCTATCTAATGGCTATTCATATTTAATTTATGTAAATATGAGAAGTATCGCTGCTGTTGACTTGAGTAATGTTTCATTTTCGTGTCATTCAAAATGCACAAGGAATTGAGAACCGAAATATTACTATACGTTGTTAACAGCTGCCACGTCTTGAGCAAGCTTTATTAGTTACTGGGGAAACGAAATCCTAATACAGATCACCAATAATGATTTATATCCAGTCTCATATCAACAGTCAACGTCGCAGCCTATCACTGTCGTATTAACGTGAATGTTGCGCGATAACATTTTTCCATTATTTTTTTTTTTACATTTTAAATAAAATAAAAATAAGGAACTTCGTTCCAACAAAACATATCTGTATGAAGCAGATGATAAAGATATAATGAGTAAATTATTTTCTTTTATTTAAGAAGATGATAAGCTAGCTGGCATTTCACGTAATGTTATGTGATTACCGCCGCCCATTTGTAGCACTCGCAGAGTTGCAGATGCGTTTAAATAAAGTGGGCTCCGGTTACCTCACGTATCAGATGACGCGCAGTACGCCGAAGTATAAATCTTCCCCTTCACGCCGGTCTTCTGTGAGGTTGTCGTGCTTCCCCGGACGGACCTGCCCATTCATACAACAGCGTAGACTGCTGCGTGACCCCATCACAGTTGAAGTTATCATTGACGTTAAACATTTATGAGATTTCTGCCGTTAAAGGTTAATCCATACTAATATTATGTCTATTCATTCCTTCAAAGCTAAATTAAACCCTAATGTTTATTTATATCTTTCCCTTGTTTCTATTTTTATTTTCCAATAAATCAACATAAAGAATTCCAAAAACATTACCACTTACCAATCATTTACAAAAAATACGCGCACACATACCCACACACCCACCCACACACACACACACACACACACAAACACACGCGCGCACGCACGCACGCATGCACGCATCCATCGATCTCTCCAGGTTCCACTGAAAACCAGCAATCGCAAAATTTTTTCGCAATGTAATGCTGATTAACGGTGACCTTTTTGGTGCATTGTTGTCTAAATTTTAATTGTTATTTTTTTATTTTTCATTTTTTATTTTATGTTGTTTGTTATGTACCAAATAAATATTTCTTTCTTTCTTTCTTTCTATTATAAAGGGCGAAAGTAAACTTGTCTGTCTATCTCGCTTTCACGCCAAAACTACAGTACCGATTTAAATGAAATATGGTACGCAGAGCCTGAGAAAGGACATAGGCTATTTTTAATTGGAAAAAGGGTTATAAAGGGTTCTTAAAGGGGATAGATATTTATTTAAGGGCTTCAACGCGACCGAAGCACCACAGGCGAAAAGCTTGCCTTAATATATTTATCTGTTTAAAAGTCAGAAGTGAAAAATGTTCTTTTTTTAACAACTTTTTGTGTATTTCAATATACTTTTTAAGATTCCTCTAAATTTTGTTCATTTGGCACCGATACTTCTCAGCGATATATTCATACATTCACCGTTGCATAACAAATTGAATCGAAAATGGTAATTGTATCCGGTATGCCGCCGGAAACGTATAACTAAATCATTTCCAGAGCCAGATGAAATTCGGTTTCTTATAAAGTCATTCCTAGTTTAGCCTTAGACTTTTTATTCGCAATAAGCTATTTAAACTTAATTTCGACACGTTAAAAGTGCTCTTTCATTTCTATTGAAAACCTCGATATATGTTTTAATAGAATCTGTCCAATAATTGTTAACTCTTAGTAAGCAGCTAGTTAACAAATATTGACAAAAAATATATTGTGATAACATATAGAATCTAGACGTTGATAGAACATTGAAAAGAAAAGCATGTTTCGTGACAATTTTCTTTCATAGTATGATCAATATCAAATGCTATAAACATAAGGGTTCCTTACTAAAAATAGCTTATTTAAACAATTTATAACCTATGGCGTTCGTAGTCTGTGACTTAGTCTTTCATCAATAAAAAAATGTAATTCTGTTAGTTATTCCTAATTACAAGTTAACGCCCGGTTTCTAAAACACTGATCATCGTAGATATCAACTAATCAGTTGTCAAATGGCTTTTCAAATTTCATTTTAGTTGCCAAAAGGATGGCTAAACTCTCTGAATTGACCAGAATGATCTTCTTAATGATCAGAATGATCAAGTAAAAGAGTTTAAAGGTTCTTTTGGTACTCAAATAACATTTGAAAATCCATTTGACAGCTGATTAGTTTACATCTATGATGATCAGTAACTCAGGAACCGGGCGTAAGTCGTTTATGTTTTAACAAAGAAATATTTCACTTCTCTTAAACTTATGTTACCGGTATCTTCAAATATATTTAATCCAGGTGATACAGTTTTATCGGTAGGAGGTTGCAGCGTCGATACAAATTGTTGGAATAATTCACTATCAGAAACATCCAGGAAATTGCTACGATGCATTTTTCATGAGACAAGAAATAATGGACGCTGTGAATATCCGATTTAATTATTAAAGTTGATTCTAACCGATTTATTTTTAATAACGGGTGAATTTTCTTTCGGTATAACGTAAAAAGTTAAATGCGTGACAAAATTAGAAAATGTTTCTTTTTGAGTTTGTATTTATACGCTGAAAGCATAATGTGCATTTTTGAAGTTATACTTCTTTTGGCGAGTATGAAAAGATTGTGAGAGTAAAATGGCACAATGGGCGCAAAACCTCAATAAGCGACATGATTCTGGGTAACCAGTTTAATATTAGCAACCAATAACACTTAATCAGGTCGTCACTATATTTAATAGAGGGTCATCTTACACTGCTATGGCCAGTACGAGGCTGCGGCTCGAAAAACTTTCTACCCCAACGGTTATCGGTTCTACAAGCTCTACGCCCGGCCAATCGCCACTTCAACTTAATAATCGGAGCTATGTAGGCTATCTTTGCTCTACTGTCTTCGTCGCGAACTCTATCGCGCAGAGAAATACCGAGCATAGCCCGCTCCATAGCTAGCTAAGTGACTTTAAGCTTCCGCATACGACCAAAAGTAAAGAATCACATCTCGGTTCCGTAGGTCAACACTAGCAACACACATTGAAGACTTTGATCTTCAAATATAGAAGGACATTAGACTAGAATATATGCAGAAAGTTTCCCAAACGCCGCCCATCCGAGTTGAATTCGCTGATTGACCTCTGCGTCGAAGTTCAACTTACCTAGCTGGACTAAATGTCCTTGTATACGTACTTGATACTATAAATATAATACTAAGTCAGTGTTAGTCTATCGAGGAGACTTATGTTCAGTAATGGACTGAAACAGGCTCAAATGATGATGATGATGATGATGATGAACCAATAACGATCTCTAAGTCAATACTTCTTGATTAATATTTAATTAAAATTTTAACCATAAAAATTTTCCGAATGCCACATTAAACATACGAACAAAAGTAAATAGCAGTTTCTTTAAAAACTTTCTACAATCCTTCTACAAGGGAAAGTATAAATATTGCAGCATTTCTACTATCCCTTAAATTTAACGAAAGCGGATGAAAGTCTAGTCAGGAATTTCTGTTTTTCGTCATTAAGCTCAGGTGCAAATAATCTCATAGGAATTACAAAAACCGTCGCGGGGCCACAAAACAGCTTCGGTTGTTTCATGAATGGGCAGGTCCGTTCCGGTAAGTTCCTACCACGACCTCACAGGACAACAGTTACAACAGTTAAGTGGAATTGTCATACTTCTGCGTGTCGTCTGGTGATTGCGGTAGCCGGGGCCCACTTTATTAACAGATGTGAACGCATCTGCAACCCTACGGGTATTGCAAATGTTAATGGGTGGCGCTTATAGCTTAACATTATGTAAGCCGCCAGCTCGCTTGCCACTGCCTCATAAAACATT